CTATTCAATATGATAGTTCACATACAACGTGGATCACAATATCTTAAACACAGTAATAATCGATGAGTTCTGAATTTATTACATTTTCTCAAATTAAGTTAAACCCGCGCCGGTGCGCGGGTCAAGATCTAGTAGCTCCTTAAAATCACAGCCAATATACAACGTTTTTTTTTTTTTTGGAACAGACAATATACAACTTAATTTTCCTTATTTGTATAACAACTAAAGTATGCTTAGCTACAAATGAAAACAACCAAGAATTCAACTAACCATCTAAATTATTCACTTAAAAAGGCATTAGCCTAACCAAAAGTGGGACCTTAAACACGAATACAGCTTTTTTTTTTTTTTTTTTGTGCTACAAACACGAATACAGCTTTGTTTATAAAATAACAATATAGTATTCTAAAGCATAATCAAGCATATAAATATAATAATAATAATCAACCAACTTTCGATTTCAAAAAGATGGGAAAATGGGCATTTAATTCCCCAAGTATTTGAAATCGGCAATTTTAATACTCAAGTATTGCTCGCGCAGAATTATTCCCCAACTAATAGTTGACTGCACGAAATTAGGAACGAAATAGTCAACCGTTAACTGGTTAACGGAAAGATAACGGTTTCCATCAACTTTTTAACGGTTGACTATTTCGTTCCTAATTTCATACAGTCAACTATTAGTTGGGGAATAATTCTGCGCAAGAAATACTTGAGTATTTAATTTGCCGATTTGAAAATACTTGAGGAATTAAAAAAATCAATATTTTTTAAAAAATATATATAATTTAAAAAAATTTCAAGTCAGATACAATCAATATTCGAGGTTTTTACTTTTTGAAAGAGATTTTTGAACTTTTACAATAACATGTACAATAATAAAAATAGTTATAGTTGCAGTTTATTGTTGATGTACTTCATGTTTATAAAATCACATATGGATGATTTCATATCATTTACGGAATCATATGTTGTAAATTAGATCTTTACTTTAGACTAGGGATGGCAAAAAATATCGAACCGAATGAAACTGAACCAACTAAACCGAAATCGCTCCAAACCAAACTAAACCGAGTTAAACCGAACCGAGAAACAATGTGCTTATGTTATTATTTGAAAACTAAAGTCTCTATTAACTTTATACAATATACTTAAATCCTAACACTAACGATTAACTTTATTAACGTTTTTTTAAAAAAAAAATCTATTTACTTTAGTTAACTTTGGTTTGATTGTGTTCTTATAAAAAAATGATGATTTCAGATTTTTTTTTTCAGTTTTATATTATAATTAATTTACATAAAACATGATTTTTATTAAAATAACGAAACTAAAGGAAAACAATTAAACCAAACTGAAACTGATCCAAACCAAACTAATTATGGTTTACTTCAGATGAAAATTTTTGAGAACTGTATTAACCAAACCGAACCGAACCGAACCGAACCGAAAATAACCAAAGTTTCTACTCTTACTTTAAACAATCATATGTAGTTACCTCTACTTTAAACTATCATATATTGTACATCATCAATGCAATGCAATGCGTTATCTTATTTTATTTTCTTTTGTAAAACTCCAAAATCCATTTTCAGTAAAAGGTATCTTGTATATTTGTTCCATTGTATATTTTTTCAAATTGAGAATCTTTTTAATTTGAAATTATTTAAAAATCATCTTAAGTTATTTTATAAACATGAAATACATCAACAATAAACTGCAACTATAATTATTTTTATTATTGTACATGTCATTGTAAAAACTCAAAAATCTCTTTCAAAAAGTAAAAATCTCGAATATTGATTGTATCTGACTTGAAAAAAATTTAAATTATATATTTTATTAAAAAAAATATTGATTTTTTAAATTCCTCAAGTATTTTCAAATCGGCAAATTAAATACTCAAGTATTTCTTGCGCAGAATTATTCCCCAACTAATAGTTGACTGTATAAAATTAGGAATGAAATAGTCAACCGTTAAAAAGTTGACGGAAATCGTTATCTTTCCGTTAACTAGTTAACGGTTGACTATTTCGTTCCTAATTTCGCGCAGTCAACTATTAGTTGGGAAATAATTCTGCACAAGCAATACTTGAGTATTAAAATTGCCTATTTCAAATACTTGGAGAATTAAATGTGCATTTTCCCTCAAAAAGATAAAATTAACTGTACACACGGCCAAACTCACATATATAGTCAAAGGCTGATGCTTCTTGCATTTTTTTTTTTTTAATGTTCATGCAGCTAGAAAAATCATATGTTTCCTTCATTTTAAAAGCGTTGGGAGCGATTTTTCCGAAAGTTTCTTGGAATCTAAGCAAAACAAGTTTAAAGAATAAAACTATTGGCAATGTGAAGAGCAAAATCATCAGATGAAGAAGTAACCTCTGTTGTAACTATGATCAAACACAATCTCGAAACGAAGTTCTAAGCAAACAATTAATCAGACATGCAGATGAAATTTTTTTTTTGCTTAACTTTTTTATGCAGATGAAATTGAAGTAAAAGATTGTTGTACTCACCCATTGTTCTCGTGACAGGCGAGAGAAACTTGTAACTGCTCCTTCTCTCTCTTGTGTGTGTGTTTGTTTGTTTGTTTGTTTGTGACTTCTGAGAATGATGGTGATGAATACTATGCAATTCATGTTGGTGTGTATTTATACCATCTACTTCCTCGTCGGTGCTAACGCCGTTACTTGACACCGTCTCTTAGTGCTCCACTATTAACATTTTCTAATTTTAAACTAAATTTTTTTGGATTGATAGATATTAATTTTTATAGACATCCTCGCGAATTATTTGATAGAAAAAAAACAATTATTTCTTAATGATAATTTGGGTTGGTAAATAAAACACTAATACATGTTTAATGTTTTGCATCTTTGATTGATTGTTGTTGAACTACTTTCACTAGCAAACTCCAAAAATAAATATGATGAATTTGCTTTATGTATATATATTTATATAGTATATCAGTTACTTTTACTTTCTATTTATTACATTAAATACTAGGTTACCATATAATTAACTATTAATGTAACCATATATATAATACATAATACTCCAGTTAACCTTTTTCTTTTCTTTTTGATCCTAAACAAAATTTATATGAGAGTTATTGATAAGTGATTTCTTATGAACTTCGAGAATTCTTCCTCATGAATTTTTAAAATTATAGTAAAATCCGTTGTTATATTGGTTTAAGAAATTTATAAAATCCCTTAAAATCTCTTGTTATTCAAGTTATTTATTAGTATTAATTCTATAATTTTCAACTAAATTTAGTGTTATTGAGAAGCAAATTCTCCTCATTTTTACTCATAAAACATAACTTTCGAAATATCATGTATTTATAAAAGTTTCACAATCCATGTGAAAATTATCTAGGAAATAGTTATTCTTACCAAATATCTATTCTACTTTCAATTCCAATTTTATGTCCAAAATTATAATTCATAACATTTTAAATTCTTAGCTTTAGGAATGTATAATTATATATTTTTTATTTATTATCATTAAATAAAACTAACATAACATATGAATTACCAAACAAACATAATATAGTTAAATTTGTTAATATAATATTCATCTTATCATATTAACATAATATTAGTTTATATGTACCACTATTATTTTCTTTGTAACAAACAAAAATGTTTTGCCAAAAAAAAAAAAAAAAGAATCATGCTATATTTAAAGAAAATGATTTTTTCAAAACATAAAAAAATATAATACATATATTTATTTTATTAAAGGAAGGACATAAAAGATAATACGAACATCTACTCTATTAAAATAGAGTCCTTCTTTTTACCTACTAATATAAGTTGTCATTTAAACTTGACTCTTTCTAGAGTGTTAAAAATAATACAATCCATAGAGTTGATTGAACTGCATTATTTAAATCAAACCGAACTTGATGCTGATAAATCAAACCGCATTACCGAAAACACATATTTTGTCGTACAAATATGGAATATTCTAAGAATATATATCATCAAAATATGAAATATGAAAATCTACTAATTATATGAAACCAATAGATTTCATATCTTAACAAATCCTTAACAAATATGGAAATCTACTAATTATATGAAACCAATAGATTTTGGAAATCGTAATATACTGTTTAATATTTTAACAGTTCCTTAAAAATATGAACGGTATCATATATGTGAAATAACAAAAACCCAAAAAAAATATTAAACATCATCATATATTGAAAAACTGTTAATTTTAATATGTGTAAACTAAATTTAAAAAAACATCAGCGTTTATCAATGGGATGGAGTTTTGGACTTACTTTTAGTTTTAGGACAAATTATATGGTCTGACTTTTAGGCTTAATATTAAGGGGAAACTCCAAAAGGATATTGAATAAACTTTCCACCTTAATTGATCAAAAAATCAATTACTATTTTCAGGCCAAAGATGTCTAATATTTTTAACAAAACAAATTGTCCATTATTAAGCACTTATTTAAATCATGTACTTTAAAATTGTTATTGTATTTTTATTTTAAATAAAAATCACTCTGTTTTAATAAATGTCACTGGTAACTTTTAAATAATTTATTACTTTATTTTTCTTAAATAATTTACTGATAATTTTTTTTAAAAAATAAATGTAAAGCAAAAAAACAAAAAAAAAATCTTAGCTGAAAACACAGGTTATATTTTTTGCTTTCATTTATTTACAAAATAAACTATTGCAATTTTTTTTTAAAAAAATTGTCATCTTTTCATTTTTAAATTAGATGTTCGATTATTTGAGATTTTTTAATATCATTTCATACTAACTTAGCGGATCTAAAAAAAAACTTAAAACTAAAAAATAAAAACCAAAATCTAAAACTAAAACTAAGTCTTAAAATAAAAAATGAGAAACTAAAAATCAATGCAAAACAATCATCAAAAATATTTATGATTACTGATTTTATACCAAAACATACTTTAAATAAATACAAAAACTAAATATATAAATTTTTAATCATAAATTTTTTTCGAGCGTGGATCAAAATCTATATATATATTAGTTGATTGAATCAGTCCACGTAAGCAAGATATATTTTTTATTCATTTATGCTGACTCATCATCCACATAACCAATCAAGTTTTCATTGATGCTACACGTCAGCAAACAATGTATTTTTTAGTTAAAATCATCCTCGTCATCGCCTCGTCGGTTTTATTGAGCAGCAAAAAAAAAAAAAGAAAAAAATCAAACGGCGAGAGGAGGAAGCGATGGTTGAATCGGAGAGAACGAAGCACACGTGTCTCAGACTCGAACTCTCCGGCACCGATCCGATATTCGTCAAAGGCACTTGGCATCCCTCTCGTTTCGATATCTCCGTCACCGATGGCTCCTCCTCTTGGCTTTGCAACGGTAATAATCCACCCGATTCGAATCTGTTTTTTTTCTTTTTTTTTTTAATTTCTTCCTAAGACTGATTTTACATTCGAATTGAAAGCAACGGAGGAGGAGGTAGCGGAGCGGGCGGCGCAGTGGGACCAGCCGGTATCGGAGTATGTCAAGCTCGCGGAGCAGTACTTAGGGTTTCAGCAGCCAAACTCGATCTACAGCTTCTCCGATGCTCTTGAGGGATCTAAACGGGTCAGTTGTTCGATATGCTTTCATGATGCAATGTTGTATGATAATGATTTGCTGAAGAAAATGGTGTTTGATAACAGCTCTCTTGGACGTTTGAGAAGGAAGGGACTAAACTGGAGTGGAGGTGGAAGTGTAAACCGTCACATGACAGCAAGAAGATCACTGTTGGGATCTTGGATTTTCTTATGGAGGCTAACATAAGGCTAAGTGTAACGTTCTTGACTTTCTTGTTATGTTTTGAGAATGAATATGATGAGTACTCTTCCTTTGTTATATGTTTCTTATGATTGAGAATAAAATACTGCACAGGAAGAAGTTGTGAATAAGACAAGATCTTTTGAGAAGATGAAAAGTGAAGCTGAGAGATGCTTAACGCAAGGTGAACGGCTCTGCAGTGATAAAGTGGAGTTTGAGGAAGCAACTTACGCAAAGGCATGTCTACTACTTACTTCATTGCGTCTTTGTGGAAAGGATCTTGTCGTGTTTAAGTACTGAACATGGTCTTTTTTTTTTGTCGATGTAGTTTCTTTCTGTGTTAAATGCGAAGAAGGCAAAGCTCAGAGCACTAAGGGACAAAGAAGATTCAGGGAAAGAAGTTGCAGAGGAAGAGGACACGGACAAAGGTGAAAGCTCTGAGAGTGGGAGAAGTGACAATGAGCAGAGTGAGGAAGAACCCTCAAAGAAGGCAGCAACAACAAGCAGCAGAGGCCGTGGCAGGAAGAGAGCTGCACGCGGTTGAGAGATTCCCCTGCCTTGAGATAATAGGTCATGAATAAGCATTATAGGTTTTGTCAAGTTTAAATGCTAGGACATGATGTGTCTTCACTTCCACACAAACAGAAGTAGCTCATGTAGGAGAAATTATGTTCCCACTCTCACGTTTTCGTCAAATTTTGTACTCCGCTAACGTGTTCTCGTCGAGTGTTGTTAGTCTTTGTAATTTCACATAAGTTGTAATGGTCTCACCGTTTGTTATATGGTTTATGTTCACTGTTTATGTTTCTTATAGTTATCATCATACCACTCTTCAGCGAAATCTAGAAAACCAAAGTTTTACATTAAACCCGATATATTGCCATCAGTCCAAGTAATGTATCTCTGATTTGAGTATATTTATATATAATTATTCAAAAGACTTGAATGTTACTATACAACATATGACATATGATATAAGTCTATAAATTAATATTTGATAAATATAATAACTTAATAAAAAAAAATTGGTCAAGAATTGGACCAGTTCAAAAAATATCACACAAATCAATAAGATAATATTTTTTTTTAAAAAAAAATCATATATAAATATATTGTCCCAGTAAATCTTAAATTAATAATTTATGTATTGTTTTCTTTACTTTAATTAATAATTTATGTATACATTTTATATAAATACAAAAATATTGTATTATTTATTTTATATCTACAATAGTATTCTCGCAATATTTTTAACACTTCAATATATATATTGATAGTATTTATAAAATTATATCTAAAACTACATCAAATTTCTAAAAAATATTTTTATACTCAAAATAATATAAGAAAAACAATACGAAAGTCGAATTTCTAAAACTTAATTAGTGTATATAAAGTAAAGTTAACTAGTTTCTTATTCTTTAAAAATATAGTCAAAACAGAAAAAAAATCTAAAAAGGAAACTTTATATATTCTAATTTTATTATATAAAGTTTGGTTTTTCAAAGTTACTAATTAACATGATCGCGACACATGGAAATTATGTGTTTAAGATTGTGATATGTGTAAATCTATCTCATAATTAAAATATATATACTAAGATAATAACAAAAATAAATTTTGTTTAAAAATTAATTATAATTATCCTCTAATAGTATTTTTTTCATTTTGAAAACCCTAAACAAAAGATAATTGTAAAAGATTATTTGACAGTAATTTTTCTTTTAATAGTGTGACATGTGTTAAAATATATAATGATTAGATATATATATATATATTATAAGATAATAAAAACATATTTTGAAAAATTAAATTTAAAATTTATTTATTAGTAAAAAGTCACTTTAAAATTGATTAAATCGTATTTTTTTTTAGAAATTTTACTTTTTAAAATCCTAAACAAAAAAAAGTTGTAAAATATTTTGAAAGTTAATTATTATTTAATAGTAATTTTCCATTTTTAAAACTCTAAACAAAAGATAATTGTAAAAGATTATTTGATAGTAATTTTACTTTCTTTTTGTTTGATCAACAAGTAATTTTACTTTCAATATTATGATATGTGTTAAAATATATAATGATTAACTATATATATATATATAATAAGATTATAAAAACGAATTTTAAAAAGGTAAATTTAAAATTTATTTATTAGTAAAAGTAACTTCAAACATTATTTAATAGTATTTTTTTAGAAATTTTAATTTCTAAAAATCCTAAACAAATTTTGTTTTTGAAAAAAATTGTAAAGATTTTGAAAATAATTTGTAAAAAAATTGTAGTGAGCTTGATTCTTCAAACTTGCTAACATGATTGTATCATATGACAGTTATATATTTATTAATTATATTTATTATTTAATAGTAATATTCAATTTTTAAAAAGATAATTGTAAAATATTATTTGATAACTAATTTTTCTTTTTAATATTGTGACAGGTGTTAAAATATATAATGATTAATATATATATATATATATAATAAGATAATAAAAAAGAATTTGAAAAAGTAAATTTAAAATTTAGTTATTAATAAAAATTAACTTTAAAAATTATTTAATAGTATTTCTAGAAATTTTACTTACAAAAATCCGAAATAAAAACAAGATTTGGAAAAAATACTATTAAAGAATTTTTAAAGTTGTAAAAGATACTATTACTGATTTTTAAATTTAGAAAAAGTACTATTAAATAATTTTAAATCCTAATCAAATGTTTAAGTAGTTTTCCTTTCTTTAAATCCTAATCAAATGTTTTTGGAATAATTAATTCTAATATTTTTATGAATAATCCACTTTCCATTTAAAATAGTTGATAATTTTTTTATAAATTATAAATCAAAAGGAGCTATAATTATTCTCATATATATATGATTAAGTTCTCAGATGTTTTGTCATTTCTCATATTTTAGTAGCAAATATAATACAGTAAGAGGTACAAGAATAATATTAAATAAGTTTTTCTTCATATTCATTTACATCTTCGTGTGATCTAATCTTTTAGGGTATCACATGGAGAGCAAATAACATGTGACGTCCTGATTTTCACATTAAAGTGATGTTAATTTTTTTTTAAAAATATATATGTTATTATCATGTTGCCGTACATTAGTTACTGCCACAATTATACTTAAGCATATTTACATGTTGTTTTATGTAAGTTTAATGGATAATGTGACTATTATGCTTATTTGTGTTTATTCTTATTAGCATATAAAATTGGTTATGCTATCATGATACTACAGACCTAAAATAAAAGAAATGACTTTGAAATAAAATGTTGTAGGTCATGCTATTAAAGATTAAAATCAAAGAAAAAGACTTTGCAATTGACAATATTACTAATAATTTGACCTACACAACATGATTACTGAAATAAAAATCGTAACCAGAAGTTATATGAAAAAAAAACTTGTATTCCTATCATAAATCTCATACCAACATATGTAAGATGACCTTTCAAATTGAAATGATGTTAATTTCTTATATGAGTTTGCTATTCAATGAATATCAACAAGAATTAAGGTTAAACCTTAAAAGGTTGGTCTAGTAACTCTATAAACTAATAAAATAATATCAACATTCTTAATTTATAGAGTTTTTTACTTTATCTTTCTTATATTTTTTTAAAAAAGTTAACTTGTAGAGGACTTGCAAATATGTTAAATTGTACTTTTTGACTCAAATTTTGAAAATATGAACTGATATATATGGAAAATTAGGTCATTCTCGGCTGTAGCTTGCTTTTTTCTCTCCGTCTCTCTTTCTTATATATATTAGGTAATTTTGATTTGTAAAGTTAATTTAATCACAAGTCACTATGCAATCGAGAAATCTTCCGGGGGATTTGGTAGAGGATATACTCTCTAGGGTTTCGGCTACATCGGTAGCAAGACTCCGAGGAACATCAAAACAATGGAACGCTATAGTGAAAAGTGGGAGCTTTGCTAAGATGCACACTGCTAATGCACCAAAGGAGGAGTCTCTGATGATCACCTTGATTGATCATAAGGTTTGCTTAGTAAAGATCAATCTCCATGCTCCACCATCTGTTAAAATTGCAAATCATAAATTATACCTTCAAGATCCTCTTTCTGATTCTCCCAAAGAAGTCGCTATACGTAACGTTTTTCACTGCAACGGCTTATTGTTATGCACCACAAAGGACAAGAGACTCGTGGTTTGGAATCCATGTTCAGGGGAAACCAGGTGGATTGAACCCAGTGACAGCTACAAAAAGACTGACTACTATGCTCTCGGTTACGACTCATGCAAACAATACAAAATCTTGAGAATGGATCGTCAAGATAGACCAGTCAAGAACATGTGCGAGATTTATGACTTCACCTCTAATTCGTGGCGTGTTCTTGGTGTGCGTACTAATTGGTTTTTAGCAAAATATCGTCGTGGCGTATCTGTGAAGGGAGATACTTATTGGGTTGCTACTCAAGCAGCAGAGAAGCCATACAATGATTTCATACTAAGCTTTGATTTTTCAACAGAGATGTTTCAAAGTCTGTCTCTTCCTCATCCTTTTCCGTATGGTACATCGGCTTTATCAGTGGTTAGAGAAGAGAAACTTTGTCTCTTAGGTGCTGACCTTGACAGGTATTTTTGGCATGAGGGCATAAAGTTATCAAGTTTACAAGTATGGGTGATAACTAGTACTGGATCATGGAACAAGTCCCTAGCAGTGAATACATGGAGATGTCTGTCTTCTAAAGGGATGAGTTTTTTTGCAGACGAACAGAAGAAATTTGTGGTGTATTTAAACAACTTCAACATGTTACACGTTATTCGACAAAATAAACACATACTAGGGAAACATCTTGTTGGTGGGAATTCGTCACTTCTTCTGAATTATGTACCAAGTTTGGCTCAAATTCAAGAAGCTGCACTTCCTGGAGGACGCAAAAGGAAAGCACCAAGTTCCTGATTTGTAATTGTCACACTAATCTATCCAGTTGTGTCTCTTTTCCATGTGTATTTTATTTAAAAAAATTACTATAAGGTTTAAGACAACATCTTTGACTAAGATGACAAGATGACTCTTTATACTAAGATGACACTAATCTATCCAGTTAGATGTTTTTCTCTCTTTTTGGGTCTTTTCATGCATATGACACGATGACTCTTTATAATAGGTCTTGCTTATCTAGTTTTTCCGATATACAAGAAAATTTTTTAAAATGCGATGTTATGTAAGCATATATAACTTTAGTTTGGCGGAAAGAAAAGTATAATACATTTCTTCCATAACTGAATAAAGATGTCTATCCTAAGAAACATATCTCAAAATATAAGTGATGACTTCTTATTCATCTGAGTCACCATATCCATTGCCAAAACATAGCCATTTTCTTTTCTTTTTTTTTTCAATCAGAGACTCTTTTTTCTTCTCTGTTTCTCCCCTGTTTATCTCCTCTGTATCTTACAAAAATCAACAATGCATCTCTAATACATACTCATTCAGAGATACATGGACTGATGGCTATAAATGGGAGTTAATGTAAGACATGATTTGCTAGATTTTGTTAAAGACTGACAATCAAGAAACATAGTCAGTCAACATAAACTATATAACAAAATGCATTGTTTTTTTAATTATTTTTTGTAATGGTATCTATCTTTGTCGTTACTATAAGAGCCACAATAATTTAGTGGATAGTGATTGGACGTGTCTTCACTTTTCACTTCATATAAACAAACGTAGTTCATGGCAAAATTATGTCAAAACAAGCCTAAAAATATCAAAGATGCATGTTTATCTTGTTCACGTCAAATATTAGTCTTTGTAGTTTCATATTTTGTGGGGTTTTTTTAAGAAACATTGTCGGTTGTATAAGTTGTAATGGTATCACCAGTTTGTTATATGATTTATGTTGACTATGTTTCTTAGTTACTAGTCTTCAAAAAAAATTCTTTGAAAGTAATGTCACTAAATCTCATATATAAGCATCCGTCCACGTATTCATGAATGAGTCGAATAATATATAAAAGTTTAGTATTATAGATGTAGAGTCTTTGATTTTTGGAAGAAACAGAGGAGATGAACAGGGGAGAAGCAGAGAACAAAACAGGTACTAATTTGTTTGAAAGATTTCAGGCAGAAGTTGCAGGGCAATTGGTCAAACGATCAAGTTGTTGTTGGTTTTTTTTCTTTGTATGGCCTACATGTATAAGTACATATAATATCTACAAATTTTAAGTAACTACGTTTTTGGACAAGTGTAGATATTATATGTACTTGTAAGAATATCAATATCAAGTTTTATATATAAGAGATTAATCAAGGATCATAACGAGTAGTCTGATCTTGTAAGGCAAGGCATCTGACACTTTGCTCTGAAAAAGTACGCAAGCTTTGTTCATTTTATATGATGAGTCTTGCTGGAGCCAGATCGACAAAGACATTAGAATCACTCCTGGTTTTGCATATTTACGAGATTCTTGGAGACTTAAACGTTGTTATTTGTAGAGTGAAACAGCTTTGTCCTTTCCCATATGATATCACTCAATATGAGCTCAAGAGATATACAAGTAAGCATTTAGGTTTATTTTGGCGTACAACAAATCTGTTATTGTCTTCTTTTTTCCGTAACATCTCTTGGGGTTTCAATTTGTTTTTGCTTTTGAAATGAAAAGAAATCGTGTGGTGCTAAGGAAGAAGCGATGAACTCTGTTAAGAAGTCAACTACTTATCTCTAAGGCTATGAAAAATTAGTAAGAAGCTTAGCCAAGGGAGATATAGATACTAAGTTCGTTTTCCTGTGGACCTTCTGCTGCTAAGGCCACCAAGTTTTGTACAACTTTCCATGTCAAAAAAGAAAGCTGAGGTTGTCAATAAAGCCAACGGAAAGGAACCCATCATTTAAAAAAGTGATTAAGATCACTGAAAAATCCTCTGTTTATTTGTTTGGTCCTAATAGGTTTTAAGCATATATATATATATATATATATTTTTTTTTTGTTTCTTCTTGGATACATGTTTTGGTTTTGTCATAACATTTAGCAAAGATTCTTAGAACAAACAAACATTTAGCAAAGATTCATAGAACATTTAGCAAAGAGATTCATAGAACAAACAAACATTTAGCAAAGACTCATAAGAACAAAGTATGAGAAATGGTAAATAGATTCAGAAGAAAGTAAGAAACAACAAGGTCCAAAGATATTAGAAAGAAAAACGTTTACTTACCAGTAGATGTGGGTTGTTACATGTCTGCTTCTTGGATACATGTCTGCTTCTTCTTGGGGATATTGTTACCTTCTATGTTTTGGACAATACGCTTAGAAGCCTTCCTCTCCCTCTCCCACTTGCGTACATTAAAGGATTTGAATCTGGATTTGTTTTTCTTATTTGTGTTTAGTTCGATTGAGATTGTCAATCTCTCAATCCACTTCTTGTTCTTGAGATAAGTTGACAATAGGTGTTTCCTTTCAATGTTGTTTTTTGTAATCCTGAGATTATTCACCTGATTATTGCAACAAAAAAAAAAAAGATTGTAATGAGTACAAGTTCAATTATTTAGTGTCACTAAACAAATAAGAAGCACACACACCATTTTGACGTGTTGGTTTCTCTCGATTAGCTCATCCTCAGTCAAATGCTTCTTCCTAATCCTTGCTTGGTGATGATTCATCACAGCCACTAAAACACGAAAAGAAAATGCACAAATTAACATATATTCAGTGTTTTGAGCTCATACATCAACACGTCGTTAACGGTTCTCCAAAGTAATTAAACCAAAAAAAAGAACATGAATAATTGTTCGAAGGAAGTTGAAAGAAAATAGAAGATGCTAAGAACTGAGAAAAAACGTGGTAGAGGTAACGAGGAGAGATCCAATCACAAACAAGGCTGCTTATAGAAGATTTGAACGAAACGTCACAAGAAACTTGAAAGAAGCGACTGTAAAATCGAAGATCTTAAGAACAGTTTAACTACACAGGCCACATGTGAAAATCTTAAAAATCGATTTTAGATATGATCGATAAGACTATACAGGAGAAATTGAGCAGGAACCAAGTCTAGATATTAAGAACCAGCAAAGACCACATTCCTAATTAACAACATAAACATGAAGATTCCTCAGAAAAACTCGAAGCGTAAATCAAGCAGAGACTCCATCCCATACAGAGACTATTGTGGATTGTGATCCGTACGACCTATAGATACAAAAATCGAGTAGAGATTACATATCAATCCCATACATAAACATGAATATATGAAGGGAAAATTCAGGAGAAAATTGAACATAATTATGCCAAAATAAGAAAGTGTAAATCGATTTCAGAGTAACTAAGTCAAGATCTCAGCATGAACGACGTCTAGATACAAAAATCGAGGAGAGATTACATCAATCCCAAACATAAACATGAATATGTGAACGAAAAATTCAGGAGAAACTTCAGAGTAACATTCTAGATCTGATAAATGTACATTCATCAAGGACGAAGTCTAGCAACTTAAAACGAGCAGATACTCCATCTCAAACGTAAACACTACGAAACGTGAAAGAACATCACATGAATATGAGAGAGTGAATCGATTCAATCTTACAGTTGTTATTCGCTTCAATCACACCTTCTTCCTCATTGATTTCTTCTCCTTCAACGATCTGCATGTTCGCTTCTTCTGCTCTGTTATCCGCAAACCGCATGATTCAGCATCGGTTAAGAAAATGCAAACGAGAAGAGATTCAGCATTTCAGTTACACGAAGCTAAAATGAAAGCAAGAGAAAGAGAGAGAGAGAGAGATCACTTACGCATTCACCATTTTCGCTCTGAATTTGAAACGAGAGAGTGAGGGAGAGATATGGTTTATATACGGCGGGAGTCGGAACTGACCCGCACTCTACATTCTGATTTTAATATTTTTTGAAATCCGTAACAGAATTTGTTTTCGGTCACTCTTTTCATAAGTTGGACGGTTATCATGATACCACGTCATAATTTTATCGACGGTCAGGGAGTAAGCTTGTTTGACAAAATATCTACGGCGTACGTTATACATTTATTTACTGCTCGCACTATACTAAACCAAATCATCAAGTCCAGTCCAGGCCCAAATCGAAGAAGTTAGTTTTTTTCCTGGGCCTCTTAGATTTTTTTTTATAATTGGGTTATTTATTATTCAAGTAACTATATATATATATATATATATTAAAAGAAGTTAAATATATATTTTTCTCCTGTTAATTTTTTTATCTTGACAAACTTGAGATTCATATGTTCCAAAACTAATGTGAAACTGTTTATTTTCAGGTTTTACTAGGATTGTATATTTTACTAGATGTTTTCTTGCACAATGTGCACACATAAAAGTTTTAAAATTTAAGTTATATTTTAAAAAATAATGTTGGTCCTATTATTTACTTATACTATTTTTTATTTAACTTTAAATTTCATTATATATAAAAATTAAGATAAAATAAATATGTTTATTTAAATTTGTATTTGATAATATATGTATAATTTAAAATTATAATCTTATAAAAATACTTTATCTAGTTTATTTTTTTTAAAATATATAAAATAAAATTATATAAAACTAAGAGAATTTTTTCTTATATATATAATTATCAAAACGTAAGACTAAATAATATTTCTAAAGTTTTTAGTTATTAAGAAGAAACTAATGGTAATGAGATTAGAAAATTATAATTTTAAAAAATATGCATAAGTTTTTCAAGATTTGTTTTAGTAATAAAGATTATAAAATTTAAAATAAAAAATAGAATTAAATAATATTTCAAAATTTCAAAATATCATTAAATTCTATATTTACTATTATAACATTTATTATTATATTAATGATGGTTTATGAATTGTTACCTTACTCTAAAAGCTTAGCAAGAATATAAATCAAAAATTATTGTAAATTTACAATTATAATTAACCATGTCATCATTGTTGGTATGTCATGTTATCTTTTTCTTTTAAAATTGATATAGTGATGAAATATGGTAAATCATTTCTCAAATAATATACAGAGGAAAAATATTATTTGTCTGTTATCATATACATTGATTGCTTTGGTCAAAATTGATCTATATTACTAATGGTACAAAAATATTATTTCTAAATTTAAAATTAGAATCTTATAAAAATATTTTATCTAATTTATTTTTGTTAAAATATATAAAATAAAATTATATAAAACTAAGAGAAATTTTTCTTAGATATATAATTATCAAAACGTAAGACTAAATAATATTTCTAAAGTTTTAGATATTAAGAAGAAACTAATGGTAATGAGATTAGAAAATTAAAATTTTAAGAAAATATGCATAAGTTTTTCAAGATTTGTTTTAGTAATAAAGATTATAAAAATATAAAATAAAAAGATAGAATTAAATAATATTTCATAAATTTTAAAATATCATTAAATTCTATATTTACTATTATATAATTTATTATTATATTAACAATGATTTATGAGCTATTACCATATTCTAAAAGTTTAGGAAAAATATAAAATAACAATTATTGTAAATTCAAAATTATATTTAAACCATGTCATCATTGTTGGTATGTCATGTTGTTCTTTTTTATTTTAAAATTAATATAGTGATGAAATATGATAAATCATTTGTCAAATAATACATAGAGGAAAAATATTATTAGTCTATTATCATATACATTGATTGCTTTGGTCAAAATTGATCTATATTACTAATGGTACAAAACGACAAGTTATTAAGGTTAATAGTAATACTCATAACAAAATTAATCCCATCGTACTCCACTAACTTGTTCTCGTTAAGTGTTAGTCTTCTAACATTCGTATATAATGTGTATTATGTGGGAGTAGAAGGAACAAAACAATGGAGACACTAGTCTCTGTTTTAGATATTGAGTGAGACATATGCATAGTCTCTGCTTGAAAGATACTGAGTTACACAGAAGGTTCGGGAAAAAAATCACTACCATTAACATGCCATACATACAATTGTTATCTGTCAAAATATTTGTGTATTTGTAAAGCCAAATTCCTGTTGAGAAATCTATTCAACAACAAAGTCGACATTTACTGTTGTAGCCTGCTATACAAGGTAAAACAATATTATGCTTAACAATGTACAAAGAGGCACCTTGTTTTACTAATACTATCATAAACGAAAAAGAGAAACTGTATAAACGCTTTGTGAGCATTTGGCGCTTGATACGGAGGGTATTTCTCTATAACACAACGAGACCTAATACTGAATCATATGGGGATTCATTTTTGCTAAATTCTTGGCTATGACCTCTTCTATAATCGGTTTCATAACATAAGTCAAAAGAACCATGTACATTGTGTTGGCATATGTTTGGCCACTGAGGTTGAGGGAAGTTTTGTTGAACAATTTGTCATGAGTGATTTTTATAAAATTCTTGTGGAAAATAAAAATCAGCAAAAAAATTAAGACTTACTGTTGCAGCATGCTATACAAGTTACCATAAGGATTTTGCTTGACAAATGGTGTAACGGGGCTCGTATTTTACAGAAGCCAACAACATGTCTCTTGTAGAACTTATGAATTGATGATTTTCATTAAACGTATACAAGAGTATACATATACATTAAATGAGATCTTAACAAAATATCGTATAACTCAAGATAACTATAAATCTACGCGAATGAATCAATAATTATCCTTAACACTAGATTATTATTTGTCATTATATATGTATATCCAACATGCCCCCCAAAATGATCGTTTTTCAGTCAGTCCAACGTTCATGTTTGCCGTGAGGGCTTGTAAATCCCAGGTGCGATTTTCTAGTTGCGAGTTCAATTCCACCAGCATTGCAGCGCGCCATTTGGGATGTTTGAGCGCCTGTTGCCAAGTAGTCAGTATCCAATGAGGGTCGGATTGAAGATTAACGTTGAGATTGTACTTGGTGGCAAGTTTGACAATGTTATTCTTTGACATTGCTGTCAGAGTGTCTCGGCTGCTCTGGAACTTGCGCTGCAGTTGTTGTTGCCGTCGGGTTAGGAACTGGTTGAGACATATTGTTCTGGTTCTGAGTCATTTGAATCTTCCCTTGTTGTAGCAGGAGTGTCTGAGACTTGCGGTTGATTTGTTGATGGCTGAGACGACGGATGCGCAGCATTGTGTGAGGGATCCGAGTTCGCTGGCGAGTTGTTCGCAGCCACTGATGGCGAATGTATGAGTGGTAGCTGTGGGATGATTGTGATATGAGGAGTGATGAATATGGGTTTACTGGTTCAGGTGTAATTGTGGGTTGTAGCTGGGCTAGGAGTTTGTATGGGAAATTTGTTTCATTGAACCTCACATGGCGTGATGTGTAAACTCTGCCAGAGGTAGGATCAAGACACTGATACGCACTCTGTGTCAAGGAATATCCAATGAAAACACATGGAGTGGATCTGTTTTCGAGCTTATCTGGAGCATATGGTCTTAGCCATGAGTAACATAAGCAACCAAGGTTCTTAGTTTCTGATAGTTTGGAGTGGTGTTGAATAGTTTCTGGTAGGGAGATTGGTTGGAGAGGATAGGAGTGGTGTGGCGTTTGATAAGAAATACGGCGGTGGCAAAGGCTTCTGGCCAGAATGTCAATGGCATGTTGGCAGTGGATAGGAGAGAGAGAGAGACCAATTTCGACAATACGTTGGTGTTTTCGCTCAGATAAACCGTTGTGTTTTGGGGGTATGAGGTGGTGTGGTTAGGTGAGATATTCCATGGGTAGTGAGAAAGGGTCTAAGAGCGAGGAACTCTCCTCCGTTGTCGAAGTAAAGGGTCTGGATTTTGGTTTGAAATCAATTTTCTACTAAGGGTTTGAACTGGATAAAGACTGTTTTAACATCTGATTTGGCTTTGAGGGTGAAAAACCACGTATAACGTGTGTAGTGTTCAACAAGAACAAGGTAATATTTTTGGTTTTGAGATGAGGTGATTGGAGATTGCCACACATCTGAGAAAATATATTCAAGTGGTTTTCTGGAGATGATTGTACTTTGATTAAAGGGAATTTTATGAGTTTTATTGAGAAGAAAATCATTGCAAGGAAAAGCACTAAAAGTGTTTGAGGTAGAAAAGGTAAAGAAAACTTTGAAACAACAAATTTAAGTGTCGATGAGGATGGGTGCCCTAGCCAGTGATGCCACTGGGTTAAGGTTGCTTTAGTATCTGGATAGGTAGCGTAGGCAGTGGGTTTTAGGGTAGGCAAGGGCCACTCATACAGTTCATCATTCGTGCGGCCTTGAAGCAACTTCGCCCCAGAGCTGAGATCCTTCACCTGAAAATGTGTAGAGAAGAATTCAATGGATACCTTGTTAGTATTGCATAAGCGATACACCGAGATAAGGTTCTTGCTAACAGCACGAACACATAGTATATCATTAAACTTAAGCGATTTAGATGGTTTAGAGAAAGATGCAGAACCAGTGTCACTACAAGAAAACATGGATTTCCCTACCAAATTTTGCGACCATGGCTTGAGTCGCTAAATTTAGCGACTAATTACCTACAGATTTGCGATTGATCTGAGACCAAAAATATTAGGTAGCAACTTAGTCGCTAATTCACGACTACAAGAGATCGTCGCAAATCAGTAGCAAATTAACGACCATTTAGCGACTAATCTGGGACTGATCTGAGACCAAAAATTTTAGGTAGCAACTTAGTCGCTAATTCACGACTTCAAGAGATCGTCGCAAATCCGTAGCAAATTAACGACCATTTAGCGACTAATTTAAAGTCGGTATATTTTCGTCGGGAAGCGGTCGTATAATACCGCTACAAAACATGTGGAAATCGCCAACGAATT